ATTTACCCGCCGTTTTTCTAAAATTCATTGCGTCCAAACTGATTGAGGGAAAGAAGCGATTAGAGCGACAAAAAATAGAGTAAACTTCGGTCTATCCTTTGACAGAATTTGGTTTTATTAGAGGCTTGAGCTGAATTTTGAGAACTACTCAAAGTGAGACTTGCAACGACTTTTGCGGCTAAATTTGCCGGCCGGTTTTCAAACCTTTATTACACCCAAACCAATTGAGACTGAATAGCGTCTTTGTGTGGCAAGAAATAGAGCAAAGTTCGCTCTATGGCTTCTTAAAATTTCATTTTGGTACAGGCTTGGGCCAAGTTTTGAGCACTCCTCGAAGTGAGACTTGCATTGACTTTGGCGAGAAAATTTACCCGCCGTTTTTCTAAAATTCATTGCGTCCAAACTGATTGAGGGAAAGAAGCGATTATAGTGGCAAACAATAGAGTAAACTTCGCTCTATGCCTGGGCAGAATTTGGTTTCATTAGAGGCTTGAGCTGAATTTTGAGAACTACTCAAAGTGAGACTTGTAAAGACTTTTGCGGCTAAATGTACCCACTGTAATAAAAAAATAATTTAAGCCATAAGCAAAGGAGACTAAATAGCGCTTTCTGCGGTGATAAATAGACCAAACTGCACTCCACGTTTCCCTAAAATTGAGCTTTCTTGGTGCTTTGGGCTGATTTTTGAGAATTGTTAAAACTTCAATAACTTTTGCAACTAAATGTACCTGCCGTTAACCACAAATTTATTACGGCAAAAGTAATTGAGAGTTTAAAGCGCTTTTTATGGGGCTAAGTAGGGCAAACTTCACTCTATGTTTTCTCCAAATTTCGTATTCTTAGAGGCTTGGGCTGAATTTTGAGGACTACTCAAAGTGAGACTTGCACGGATTAACCGACGCTTAAATGCACCCCGCCGTTATTTGAGAATTCAATACTCCCAAACCAGTTGAGATGGCAAAGACTTTTGTTCGGCAATAAATTGAGTTAACTTTGCTCTAAGTTTCCCCAAAGTTTCGTTGCCTCGAAGACGCAGGCTGAATTTTCCGAATTATTCAAAAAAAGTCTTGCGTGAAAGCTTCCATCAAAGTTGTGCTCCTCCAACTAAAACTCATTGTTTTTAGGCATCTAATCCATTGAGCTCGCCTTACAGCCGAGGATAACAAAGGTTGAACGTGAACGTTTATTTAAACTTGCTGTAAATATAAACAGTTTACGCAAATCGTTAAAATTACAGCCACTTCGAGAAACCAAGAACAGCTGGACACATTTGTCGGGCCTCCAATTATTCCTTCTCTATGACATCCGAGATGTTTTGTTAAGAGAAGTGCATCCTCTTTTTAAAGTAAGCAACGGCTGCTAAAATTATCCGGAAGCGTATAGATCGGAACATCAGTGATGTTCATTTTTATGACAGCTTTTCTTGTGGGTTTTCGTCTGAGGAATGCCACCTCACCAAAACGAGCAATCAACCAAAGTCATTTTTTCCCCAAAGAGCAAGTGAAAGAGTTGATTTTTTTTCATCAGTCAGTTTTGCAAACAACTACTTCTGGAAAAAATTGGCACACAATGCAAAACAAATATTATTAAAGCTCAAGTAAGTTAACGCACTCACTCGAACAATGAGCTGGACAAACTTGAAATGAATGGCTTGCTACACAGGAGAGATTAAAATTAATCATGTAGAAACATTTTAGTTGAGCAAATAGTAGTGGGTTTATGGTTATTTTATCAAGGCATTCGGTGTTTGGACAGTAAC